ACACCTCGCTTTTTCAGACCGATGAGCTTTGTAAAAATCGACGCGTTTCAGAAAGGCGGGGCATAGAGAAGAAACAATAATGTACAGTATGTGGAAAATAATGTGTTTTTTGAACCTTAAACCGCATAAACATTTCATTACACCAAATACACAAAATAATGTTTTTTTAGCAACATCATATGACCCCTTTAAGCCTGTAAGCTATTGGAGAGGTAAGCAGCATCTAACTCTGTATGTGTGCATGTTTTAGACTGACTATAGAAGGGGCGACAGCATGTGTGCAACGTATTGCTCTATTCATAAAGGAAATAATAGACAAGTCTTATATCCGGCATGTGGCCGCATAGCAAGGATATACAATAACGACAAATCCCTAACAATTCAATGACTTCAAAGACCAGTTTAATATTGAGTGTGAATGTCACACAGTGCTGTGGCTATGGGGAGCGAGATCTTAAAGGCAGAGGCATATCCCCAACCACTGTGCCCTGCTGTACTGGTCCCAGGTGCGTCAGTACAGCTGCGTCCATATCACGCATGTAGCACAGCAGTGAGGATCTCCGGACAGCCTTTGGGGGAAAGTTAAAGGGGCCACTGTGTACCTCCGCACAGCTGGTGACTGAAATATTCATATCCTTAACAACCTCACCAGGAATTATGAGAATTCATATTCAGCCTTTTTTAAGTATGAGGGGACTTTTAATGTTTCTTTATGTACTTTGAAATACATATTTAAAATGATATGGTATTTTTCTTTTAAAAAAGTCTTTAGTAAATTTGTGTATGTATACATTTAATATTTTTGAGGATTATTTTTTTATTGTGAATGTATATTTTTGATGAGAAAAAAATAAAGGTGAAAAAAAAATGTAGAAATAGTGCAGTAAATGATCTATAAATGAGAAATGATGCGTAATCTGTAACACTGATTATGATATGATATCAAACATGTTTAGTCTTTGCACCTTTTTTGTGCCCTGTTTGGTGTGCACTGAGCACTTTTCAATTTTTATGATTAAAACATTTTGAATATTTCTTTTCTCAAAGGATATTGTATGCAGGCTTTTGTTTTTTTTTACTATAATTCATATTCAGTAAAATATCATACAGCATGCTGCTCTTACTTAGATATGGCATAAATAGTGGGAGTAGCATGCTACAATGAAAAATGGTGTAGGATTTACTTTAAAACAATTTTTTGTTCAGAAAGTGGTAGTAAATTTCATAAATTACAAAGAAAGAAATGGTAACAATGAATTAAACATGAAATTTTGAAGCATAAAAACTGAAAAAAAGTATTTTCTTGTAAAACATACTCTAGTAATCTTTGTTTATAACTTTGATTTATATTTTAAAACTATTTTTTTTTATTTTTTAGTATGCTATTCTGAATTCTATTCTGAGACGGAAGATTCCAAAGGAATTTATTTTCTATTCCATTCAATACAAATGCTTTGTGTAATAAAAGCCTGCTTCTTAAAGAAGTTTTTTGTTTACCTTGAAACTACAGTATTTTTCCATGAGATTAAAATGATTCTGTTGTTGTAAAAGACGATCTAGATTTAATGTTTGATTTAGATGTTTTAACAAAAGATGAAAAAAGGAAAAGGGTCTAGATCGTATGTTTTAATATTTTTCAGTTGTTTAAAAGTGAAAGCACTACAGCTAAATCTCTGATTGTAGGCTACTCCTGTTTTGATTCATGTTTGCAACAGGCGCAGGCCACTTACAGTGTGAGATAATTACTTTAGACACAAGTAGGCTGCATATCCCACCCACAACATGCACTACTCGTGTAAATTCAGATCCGTTACACATTTCCGTTAACCAGCACAGTGACTCTTTTTGTATGATGCAACCGTCGACAAGGTAAAAATGGGGATGTACAGTAACGTCACTGCTGCAGCTTGGACCAGCACCCCTAATTAAGAGAACGAGGGAGGAGGGGAAAAAATCCAGCACAGATAATTAACTCCATTGAACATGTTGTGCTATCCTGTTGTTGGACATAATGATCAAACTCAATCAAGGTCGGTTTTTACAGCCCACCCCGAGTTGTGAAGGGGGAGGGCCTTTTTATACTGTTCTAGAGAGAGAGACATTTCTCGGAAACCCTTACAATACAAAATTCTAATCACATCTTGTTGGAATGATTGCATAATCCCTCTCTCAGTTTTTTAAACAACGAAAACAAACTGAATGTTTTATTTTGTTATTTTAATCAGAAACCATCAGGATTATGTGGCCGGGTTACTGTGTTAGGTGTAAGTTTGCAGTAATACTGCAGAGATTTTCATCTAGACCATGCTTTCATACTGTAGTCTTGGAAATATCTGCCACGTGGCTTGTTGCACAGAAGCTGGCTGTACTACCAAACAGTAGCAAAATACTAATTATGTCTGACAGTGAAAACTTTGGGCTTACGTTAATTGGGACCTCTGGCGTCATGCCTTAAAACCAAGACATTACGAATTCATATTACATAGCTGAGCTAAATTGGCCATGTGTTCATGAAGACATAAAATGTCATTAGCATTTTGTATTTTGAGTATCATATAATGTAAATGCAGAAATTAGTGACTGCATCATACCTTAAAAGAATAGTTCACCCAAAATAATTATAAATTTGAAACTTGAACTTGAAACTTACTTAATCACTCTAATAGGGTTTCACGCCTGCGTACTTTCTTCTGTGGAACACAATTGTGACACAATTTTCTTCTGCGGAAACAACATTGGACCCCATTGAATTTTATTATGCAATATTATTTATTTCTTTATTTCTTCCCAAAATACCATCTTGTGCTTCACAGAAGAAATAAATCAGGAACAACATGAGAGTGAATAAATGATGACAGCCTTTTTGTTTCTGGGTGAATTATCCCTTTACGGGGGTTATTCAATTTAATGTTAACTACAATACCTGCCAGTAGCGAGACTCAAACCTGCGACCTTTGGGTTACAAGATAGACTCTCTAACCATTAGGTCACGACTCAAAAATATAATTGCATCATATGACCCCTTTAAGTCATCACAAGTGTAATTAATAATTTTAGCAGCAAACACTTTGAAGGTTATTTCAGGTTACTATAAAAAGCTCTCAGATCTAGTGCTAAGAAATGGAACAAAAGAAGGTGCAGCACCTCTAAACATTGCATAATACA